TTCCCTTTATTCTCTCTTCTTTCTCTTTATTCTTGGGAGGTACTATTCACTCATACAGAGCAGACTTTACGTAACATCAAGCCTCACAATATACTACTTGACCATAATTTTCAGACAAAGATTTCAGATTTTGGGCTGGCAAAACTATGCTCAAAAGAACAAAGTGTTGTGTCAATGACAGCTACTCAAGGAACTACGGGGTATATTTCCCTAGAGCTCTTCTCTAGGAACTTTGGAGAGGTTTCTTACAAGTCCGATGTTTTCAGCTATGGAATGATGCTACTAGAGATGGTTGGATGTCGAAAGAGTATTGATCTAACAATTGCTAATGAAAGCCAAGTTTACTTTCCTAAGTGGATATACAACAAAATGAACCAAGGAAAAGAGCTTAATTTAGAAATTGAGGTAGAGGGAGATGAGGAAAGCCAAGAAGCTTGCGATTGTGGGACTCTGGTGCATTCAGTGGATTCCCGCAGAGAGACCTTCCATGTCAATGGTGTTACAAATGCTTGAAGGTGACTTGCAGAGCTTAGAGATTCCTCCAAAGCCCTTTGCTTCTTCAGATGATGAAATGGATGCAAATTAATCATTTATAGAGAAATTAAATTGTAATAGTTAAGGAACTTCTATTGATTATTATATAAGTCTGCTCAAATTTTTATGTACTACTTTAATTTAAGTTTAGTGGAATCTAATAGGGAGAACTTCCATGCCGACGGTATTGCAAATGCTTGAAGGTGATTTACAGAGATTGGAGATACTCCAAAGCCCTTTATGTCTTCAGATGTTAAATCGGTGAAAATTTATCGCCGTACTAAATACTAATGAATGTAAACTAGAGTAAAGGATTTGATAGTTTTACCACTGGCATGGAAAGTCTTTAATGTTATTTGTAAATAATATCAAAAGAACTTTAGGATGCCTCCAGATTTCTTTCTTTAAATGTTGAAATGGATTCAAATTCATATAACAAAGACATAATTGAAGGGAACTTGCTTTTGGATTTTTTAGGAAACATATTTCCAGGTTTACCGTAATGCTGTTTCCAAAAATATTGCTTAGTATAGAAATATATATAACAAAAACTTGATTACTTGAAGCATGTTTTTGCCTGAAAAACGACCTCTATGAGAAGGAAATCTATATTCTATTTTTTATAACTTTTTTTTTCATTTTTCTTGTACGTGAAACGTTAAGTGTTGTTATCTAAGCCCTATCTAAATTCTTTTTAAGCCAGTCATTTGTTTTTTTAACATTTTAGAGTAGGAAAATGATTTTTAGCTCCAACAAATTTATCAGTATTCCCTACTTTCAATTTTTTTTTTTCGTTTTGACAATTTTAACCTTAATGAAAATTACTATCATTATATATATATATATATATATAGAGAGAGAGAGAGAGAGAGAGAGAGAGAGAGAGAGAGAGAGAGAGAGAGAGTTTTAAACATTTAATTTACTGCATAAACCCTAGCTTTTAAGTTTCTAAATCATTGAAATTTTTTTTTAATTTCAAATATTATTTATTTGATGAAAATATATTATTAAAACTATGGAGAAAGTAATCACATAACGAGATGAATTTGAAACTAAAAAGAAAAAGTAAGTTTCACATATGAAATTAGGGAAAAAAATGGTATAAATAAAAAACATAATTAAATTTGAAATTGTGAAAAAATGGAGTAAACAAAAACCATAATTAAGTTTGAAATTAGGGAAATAGGTGTAAACAAAAAAACCTAATTAAGTTTGAAATTACAGAAAAACGGTGCAAATAAAAAACCTAATTAAATAGGGTTATTTTCATTATTAAATGAAGTTTAAAGAGATTTTTTTTTATAAATTATATATATAATAGAGATGTATTTAGCAATTGGGGGTATTGATAAATTTGATAACGGCTAAAAATCACTTCTTTAAAATCTATTGTATGGCTAAAAATCACTTCTTTAAAATCTATTGTATAATTTGTTGAATAGAAGAAGGCTAAGAAGAGAGAAACACAGTTTCATTTTTTCAAAACTATCATTTGGGTTTTGGGCCGAAAGAAGAAAACCTATGGGTGAAGGTACGCCTTCTTATTATTTTATGCGAAATCATGATTGTGAAATCCATGAAGTTTTAAGACCCATGACTATTATCGAATGTGACTTATTTGAGTTCTTTTTTTATGGCCGAACGACTTACAAGTACCTAAGGTTTTCCGTAACAACAAATAGATACCCAAAAAGTTTAGAATCAACAAATAAGTATTTTCCATTCTGTACTGTTAGTGACTTCCGTTTCATAAAGGGTAATACAATAATTTTGTACAGCCATCAAATTTTTAACTTTCAAAATATCTCCTCGATGTCTGGAGCAAAACTTCTTTTGGAAGATTCACTTTAGAGATTGACATGTGTCCATTAAGTTGACTTTGCAGAAAAAAAAAAATAAACAAAATAAACAAAACTTTTGGCTTGCCTCTTCGTTTCCTTCTCATTTCTATGTAACTCTCTTTCTCATTTCTCTAACTCTCTGAAGGAAGGTTGTGAACGAAGTTGCGCCATTTTTTGGAGACCATCATCGACGACGACGACTGAACAATGAAAACTGAACTGAGGCTGACGACGACGACAATGAAAATGAAAACTGAACAATGACGACGGCGACGATTGAACAATGATGAAGTTGCGCCATTGTTTGGAGACCATCATCGATGAAAATGACTGAACAACGAAAACTGAACTGAGGCCGACGACGACGACAACGAAAATGAAAACTGAACTGGGGCCAACGACGACGACAACCAAAACGAAAATTGAACAACGACGACGATAACTGAACAACGAAAACTGAACGAGAGAATCGTGGGGTAACGACGACGGTGGAGGACGACTGAACTAAGGCCGGCGTTATTAACAGTATAAATCATCGACGACGACTGAACAATGAAAACTGAAGGGTAAAGTTTCTTCTTGGTTTTCTTGTTTGTTCTTCGGTTTTTTCTTATTTTATGCACTTCTAAGTTTTTGGTTTTTTTTATTTGTTCTTCGTTTTTCTTATTTGCATGTTTGGTTGTTTTTAAAGTTTTTTTTTTTGTTTGTTTGGTTTAGGGTCGTGGGATAACGACAACGATGGAGGATGACTGAATTAAGGTCAACGACGATGTGTAATGAATGTTTTTGGTTTTGCATGTTTGGTTGTTTTTAAGGTTTTTTGTTTGTTTGTTTGGTTTAGGGTTTGTTCTTAAAAGAGTTGATTATATGCTAGAGTGTGTAATGAATAAAATCCAGCCAAATGGTGGGGCTAGTTTACTTGAATTGATTATTGGGAGTGTGAATAGCTTGTCTTATGTATTTTTGGGTTACAGGATGAAGCCACAACTAGATTTTTGTTTTTAACAGAGTTGATTATATGATGTCCTTCATTTGTGATGTTTGATACTACATTTTGTTAATGAGGTATGGTATATCGGCTGGAAAACTGGGTGTACACTGCTATTGGCGGGAAAGAGTACTTTGTATGTGCAGAGGCCTATAAGTTTATGAGTTGACCATCCGGTTAACAACGCCACGTACCAATCTCATTGAGTGTGAATAGACTGTCTTATTCTTATTTTCTTTTGTATTTAATGTCTGATAATGGAGAAGCCTCGGTACCTGGCCATTAAATCTATGGAAGGAACTTTAATACTTATGATATCTCAGAATTCATTGTTTATTCTTTTGTTGCTTGATTTCACAATTGTATTGCATCATTGTTTTATTTCTACAATTTTTCTATCCTATTTGAACATGCAAGCTGTTTCTTCTTTATGAGGACATTTGCTAGAGTTCATTGTTTTTGCAGGCCATTATTTGCCAATATTAATTGCCACATATCAATATTTTATATTAGCTTACAGATGATATGTGAAAGAATTTCATTAGCTCACAAATTGACTATTGCACTACACGGTTACTGATTTAGTCCCTTAAAGAAACCAAAATGTCATTAATTTCTAAATCTAGGTGCACTGTAAGCATTTATGAATTCTGGATGCTTTGTGTATGAAAACTGTAAAGTTTGGCTTGTAATGTTTCTATTTATTGAATCTAACTCTGGCCTTTTGACTTGGGCACATATTATGCACAAAATAATGTTGATAAACACCTCTTAGCGTTTGGTAGTTTAGAGAAGGTTGATGAGTCATGGTTAATATGTGATTCCTGTAGTTAGAAATCAATGGATGCATGTGCATTGATTGATCAAGCTTGAAATTGTCCTATTTAAATGCTTAATGTTACTTGATCTGAGTGCGAATGGCTATAATATGATATTTTAATGCATTAGAATACCTTTGAAACATTTGTTTCCGTAATCAAACACATAGGATACTGTACTTGCTTACTGTAATTGCTAATACATTTTTCTACCTCTCTCTCTCTCTCTCTCTCTCTTTTTCTTTTTTTTTTTTTTTTTTTTTTTGTCCCATCCTTTTAGTTTTGGCGAAGTCAAGAACGTGTTTGCTTGTGATGCATCACATATTATGAAATGTTGCACATTCACTAGAGAGAACTCCATAGTTTTTTTTTTTTTTTTTTTGGTCTGGTGTTTGATGGGTTTATGACAGATGATGTTTTCTGTGTGTTTTTGAGCTTATGATTATATCTTATGCATGCATTTTGTAGATTTTTTTTCTAGGTTTTAATGAACTTCTTTTGCATGTATCTCGAATATGTCTGTCTTCATTTTTTGTTTACCTAGTTGTGTTTCTATAGTTTGACTGAGCTTTTGGATAAATTATGTTGTTTGTTGAGTTCATTATGCAATAACAAACTTCTGTTCTTTGTGAATCAGCTATTATTTTTCTTTTTCTTTTTCTAATGTATTTAATATTTGCAAAGTTTAATTATGTAAATTGTGTCTAGTTTGGTTAAGATCAATGATTTCAAATTAGTTTAGTTGATTCGGAAAAAAAACATTGATATGAAAAATCTACTATAACTAACAACATATTTATAGTAGATTTTGTTAAGGCCATGGGAAGTGTCAAGGATGTAGATGAGGTTGCATACAAATGGTTGCTTGAAAATGAACCACACCAATGGTCCAGACATGCGTTTGACACAATAGCAAAGTCAGATCACATAACTAACAATATGAGTGAGTGCTTCAACTTATGGCTTGGTGAAGACAGGGAACTTCCTATACTCAGTCTACTAGAACTTTACCAACGTAAGGTAATGAAGCGGTTACAATGTAGATTGAAAGCTGGTACAAAGTGGATTACACCTTTTCCACCAGTAGTTCATAGAAAGATAAACAAGATGATTGAGGCAGCTAGAAATGTCAAAGTCCGGTACCCTAGATCTGATGAGTTTGAAGTAGATGATGAGAATGTAAAGCCATGTAAAACTCATGTTTTGGTTTTGGGTAAGCAACTGTGTGATTGTGGGATGTGGCAACTATCGGGAATTCCTTGTGTTCATGCTATTGCCTGTTTGTTACACAAAAGCATTTCCAACTATGAACATTATGTTGATCCGAAGCTTAGAATTCCGATGTACCTGCAAACTTATGCATACATGGTCCACCTTGTTCCCGACAAGACTAGTTGGCCAGAGGTCAGTGATGAATATATTTGGCCACCATACAGGCAGCCCAAGGTCGGCAGACCTTCGAAATCAAGAAGGAGAGATCCAAATGAAGAGCCAAAATCTAAAAAGGTCTCTACACTTAGGTGTAGTGTCTACAGTGTCTTGGGGCATAACAAAAAGGTCCTGCAAAAAAAATCCAGCAAATGCAGATAAAAGAAAGAAGCAAAAGGTAATAGAAAAAATGTCAATTTCATCATATTTTCTCTTATAATATTGATTTCTATTTTTTTATTTGCAGCGAACCTTTGTGTCCAAAATGACTGAACCCTCTTCAAGAGCTCGATTTGCAGCAAACTTGTCCCAAGCTTCAAGTTCAAAGGGTACTTACAACTATTTTAAACCATATAATATTTATGTCTATTACTTTTTACCTTTGCTAAAGTTATTCTTACTTCTCTTAATAGGTCAACCAAGTCAATAATGCATTGCGGAAGTTCTTTTGTTTGCTGTAGCAGTAGGTTGTTTTTGTTTCTATCACTTTTTTTTTTTTTTTTTTTTTTTGTACTTTGATTATCCTATTCTAACTCACTGTTTCTATACTTTGTTTAGTGTTTCGAACATGTTGCTTAGTCAACTAAATGCTTTTTTTGCCACCGGGACCTCTAACACAACAACTCAGAAGAATAGGTGTGTATTATTAGTTAGCTGTAATGTGATATGTTCATGTGCAAGATTATTAGTAGTTGAATTATGGGAATATGATGAAACACCTGATGTGTTGGAATGGGTAGTCGAGGATTATTTGCAGTTGGGCAAAAGTGTTCCTAGGCGTGTGAATGTTGAGGAAGAATTATGTGGGATAGGTGGGAATCCTTTCATGGAGAGATTCTGAATGGGATAAAAAGGAATCAGGGAGAATTGGGGAGGATATTCTGAAAAGTGAAGAGTGAAAAATAGGGGAGGATATTCGAACTCTTGCATTGTTTTTATCTCTTTTTGTCTTAGATTTGCTTTGCTGCTCTTTATATGTGTCGTTGGGTTGCATTTTGTTGTTTATTATCCTTGTATTGGCTTGCTGGTTGGGTGATTTATTGGTTGTTGGTTGCTATATTTTTCTGGGTTTCTTGGTTGATTGCTCTGGTTTATTGGTTGCTGATTGCTATTATTGTATGGGTTCTTGTCTAAAAGGGTTACTGCAATTTTATTGTTTGGGGTTGAGCATTAGAAGGGTATCACATCTGAATTTTTTTTTTTTTAGTTTCTGTTTCTTTCAAAAAACATAAATTGTTGGAAATTGTTTGGGTTCTTGGCTGATTGCTCTGCTCTTTCTGTTTATTTAAACGGAAGAGAATTAAGGCAAAGAATGAGAGCTAAATTAACAAGATTGAATTGTGGAAATACACACACACACACACACACACACACACACACACACACACATATATATATATATATATGGTTTGATTGCACAATGCATTCCCATTGTTGTGGATTTGCAATGATGATGTTTGTACTAGACAAGAGTATGTATCTACAGTTTATTACATTGCAATTGTGCCTGTTTTTGTTGCTTATGGGTGTGCATTTGTGGATTTGCAGGATGGAGAAGAGGACAATTTTTTGCCTATTTTTGCAGCTATGGTGTGCATCTGGAAACTGCTCAGTTTCAAACCTGATTTGAAGTTTGAAGTTTCAGTTGTATATCACATTTTCATGTACTGAATTCATGGTTTCTGTTTAAACCATGAAGACTTAATTGATACTGAATATCATGTACTGAATTGATGTTAATTATGAATGCTTTCTTTTAAATTATGAAAAATTTCAATTTTCAACCACAACTGAGTATATTGATACTGCTTCTGCCAAAACAGGGATAAATTGGTCACTTGTAACATGAGGGCATAATGTAATTCACCATAATGATGTGGGTATTTACGTAATTGAATAAGTTGACTAGTGATAAATTAATAAAAAACTAAGATGTCAAACTTCAAAGGGCATTTTAGTCTTTTCACTATTATAAAACGGAAATCTATAACAATACAGGACGGAAAGTATCTATTTGTCTTTCTCAAACCTTTTGGGTACCAACTTGTCATTACAGAAAACCTTGGGTATGTTTAAGTTGTTCCCCTTTTTTTATTTATATAAATCCTGTAAAATTTACTTACATGTTTGTATGGGAGCCATGGTTTAGGAACTCATGGATTTTCATTTAGGAATTTTGAATTTTTTCCTGATTATCAATGACCCCTACAATTAAATTGAGAATTTTATTTTCCGCTGCAATTGATAATTGGGTTTTATAAATAGTTCGTTTATTATATTTATGACATCTCCCAAAGTTCAGTGCACGTTTTATTTGCTCGTTATTAGATATTTGGTGATCTTACAGTTTTAGTTGAATGGGTGTCTGAGGTTTAGACTTAATTGTTTGGACCAAAAACAAATAAGGGTACAGAAATAATTTATGCATCAAAATAATCATAATTTTTTCTGCTTCCTTTACATCTTGTTTCATGAAAATCTGGCTTGCTGTTTGTTTCACATGTGCCGTATGTGAAGATATAGTTTTTGTGTTCATGAAATTTTTTAATCTAGATGTCGATGATAAATAATAATAATAGAATAATTTGTGTTTAAGAGTAATAATATACAGCATCATTATTGTAGAATTTAACTTTTATATATTTCTATAGATTAATGTTTATATGATTTTTATGTAATTGACTGTTTATGTGCAAAATTTATAAAATTTGAAATCTTTATTGTGAATGGTTTTGAAGTCACCAAAGTGGCCAAACTATAAAGCTTATAGAATTTTGAATTGTATAAATTATTCTTCCATTGCTCATGATTTATGGATGCTACAAATGACATGATGGTGTATTTTTATTTTATGTTTGTCATGAGTATATTGATGTCCATTTATTATGAGAACTTTCGTGATCGCCCAAAGGTTGATCAATTTTATTCTTATAATTAATGAACATAATTGTGGAAATTGATGTATTCTATTAGATTTATTTTGTATATCTAAAGATAGCATATGTCAAAGCAAGATATATTCAATTTACTAAATTAAGCTAAATTTTTAATGACATCATTATATTTGTATGTCTTAGTATTACCCAAAGAAGAACTTAGATATACATTTAACGTTTATATGATTTATGTGAATATGTATTATGTGTTTAAGCATACAATTCAAAGCATTAATGTATGAGCATTATATTATTTTTTTGTAGTACATGTTCTTGTTTCTCTCTATTCGCATGTTTCGTCTGCTCCTATGTTTAATGGTCTTAATTTCTTTTATTGGTGTAAACAAGTCCAATTTCACCTTGGTGTCTTGGATCTTGATTTGTCACTTCAAGTTAAGAAACTATTACTGACACTACAAGTGATGACGATAAAACCTTTTATAATGCTTGGGAAAGATCAAACAGATTAAGCCTAATATTTGTGTAAATGAGTGTAGCAAACAACCTCAAGTCTACTTTTCCCACAATCGAAAGTGCTAAGGAATTTATGAAATTTGAGGAAGAGTGTTCCCAAACAGCTGATTAATCTCTTGCTGGGACATTAGTGGCTACGTTAACAACCATCAAGTTTGATGGTTCTCATAGCATGCATGAGCATGTCATTGAAAGACGAACATTGTAGCAAGACTTAAGTCATTAGGTATGAATGTGGATGAGGATTTCCTCGTGCAGTTTATCATAAACTCACCACCTTGTGAGTATGGTCAATTCCAAATGAACTATAACACTATAAAAGATAAATGGAATGTGAACGAACTTCATAGTATGCTAGTTCAGGAGGAAATGAGGCTTTAGAATCAAGGAATTCATTCCATTCATCTAGTAACTAATGAAGGAGCTGGAAGAAGGCCGGAAGAAAGCTTGGAAAAGGCAAGTAAGGAGTAAGGACCACTTTAGATAAATGAGTCAATTACCCAAATCCATAAGAAGGAACATAAGAAAGGTAACAAGAGTGATAAGTGTTATTTATGTGGGCAACCTAGACACTTTTAGAAAGATTGCTTGAAACGTAAGACATGATTCGAAAAGAAATGTAAGCCTAATGCTTTTGTATGCTTCAAATCAAATGCAGTTGAAGTTCCTCATAATACTTGGTGACTTGATTCTAGCTGTACCACTCATGTTTCAAATACAATACAAGGATTTCTTATGACCCGAACCACAAATCCAAATGAAAGGCTCATTTTTATGGGAAATTGAGTCAAAGCTCCTGTTGAACATATTGGAATTTATCGTTTGATTTTAGATAATGGACATTATTTAGATTTCTTTCAAACTCTTTATGTCTCTTCTATTTCTCGCAATTTAGTTTCTTTGTCTAGACTTGATTAAGTTGGATATTCTTTTAAATTTAGAAACTGATGTTTCAGTTTGTTTAAATAAATTTTTTTCATTGGTTCTAGTATTCTTAATGATGGTTTATACAAATTTAAATTTGATAATCTTTTTTATGAGACTCTATTAACCTTGCATCATAATGTTGAAACTAAACATGGTTTAGTGAATGAAAGTTTTACGTACTTGTGGCATAAACATTTAGGTCATATTTCCAAAGAAAGATTGGAATGATTGGTTCTTTCAGAGTTGGATTTTACCGATCTTGGTATTTTGTGTGGATTGTATTAAAGAAAAACAAAGAAAATACACAAAGAAAAGAGCCACAAGGAGCACACAACTCCTTGAAATAATACACACTGACATATGTGGGCCTTCTGATGTTTCATCTTTTAGTGGAGAAAAATATTTTTATCACCTTTGTTGATGATTTTTCATGTTATGGCAATGTCTATTTGTTGCATGAAAAATCTCAATCGGTAGATGCCTTAGAGGTACTTATTAACGAGGTTGAAAGACAATTAAACAGAAAGGTGAAAGTTATCAAGTCTGAGAGAGGTGGTGAATATTATGAAAAATATGAAGAAACCAGGCAATGCCCAAATCCATTTGCTAAGTTTCTTAAAAACTGTGGCATGTGTGCTGTAACAACTACTGAAAACTAGTAAAATGCTTGCATAATAATAATAGAAAATGGGTCCAAAACTTTTCTTTTTATTATATGTAATAAGTCTTTTATACACAAAGAGCATTATTTACAAAATGCCATTTAAAAAGACAAAAACAGGGGAAATAGTGTAGCTATTACTCCTCGCTTGCCGACGTCCCTCCGACTGCATCATCACCTAGATCCTGCATCCACAAAGGAAAATAACAGGGTGAGCACAAAATAATGCTCAGTAAGTAAACCCTCTATTTTTCTATCCCCGTATTTATATCTCTTAATTCTTTCCTTACTCTTTCTTTCTATTGTTTTCTACTAAACGTCATGGCCTCAT